TCTCTGCTGCATGCAGCCGTTTCTGGATAGCTCAGTAGCTTTCAGAGCCGAGAAGGGCTCTCATTCGGACCCTGTGGGAGGCACATATTTTCACTTGAAAGAGATGAGTACGTAACCGTCAGTGAATAACCGTTATTCAATAACGTATATTCAACGCGAACCGGTTGTTATCCTACAAACTCACATCGTATTTCGTTGTTCAGAACAACTGGTTTTTATTGTCTCGATCTTTCGCTTTTTTTCTATCGTCAGATCAAAGTCCGAACTCTTTCTATATATTTTGATCGACTGAGTTTCAGTTATGAATGGAATTCACAGGACTGTGAGCGATTCGGGTAGCTAACAGACTGCGAGGTACATCTTCACATTAGAACAAACTTGAGAAGCGGGCCGAAGAGAGTGGGGATGCCCCTCTCTCGTGACACGAGAGACTTGACCGAGAGCCTCCAAGCATCTTACCACACTGTGGTAAGATGCTTCGAGGCTCCAAGTTGGAGCTCCTTGTCGAGGACTTTGGCAAGGAGGCTCCTTGAAGGAGTCCTTGTGACCACCAGTATGACGGTATTGATACAACTCAAGACTCGTGACCGTCGAAGTATACAAAGGTTCTAGGTGGTAATTCACCACCACAAGTTCACCACTAGTGAACTTGATGATAAGATAGATACCACAATAGAGCTTTACGCAACTTCAATGATGTCGCGAATAACCCCAGCAATAACAACCACAACCTGAATTAGTTATGAACCTGAGTCCATTAGCTTGATGCTAGGACACAATTATGGAGACTAGAGACCGGCACAAAATCACAATAACTTCCTATCAAAAATTTTTATAAAAGTGCCGTTACCGGCACACTCTCGCCGGACGAAGGTTAAGCATGCTCGCGTTGACTTCCTTCCTTCAAGGAAAGGTATCTCCTCAGACAGGCTACCTGTCATAGACATCCTCTAGACGTGTATCGCTGTTCAGGTCGCATTAGCATGCACAGACTCTGGTAGCAATATGGTCAGATGTTTCTCGGATTTGGTCGCATCCGGCACGATGTGCCTTCTCAAACAATGGCTGCCCTGTGCTGCACACCGTTTGCACTTGACGGTGTGTAATGGTTTGGCCCTATATAAAACGAGGCACACTGAGAAGGCTGGCATCTATGGACATAAAACGGTAGAGGACGGTCTAGCACAAGCGGAAGAAGTTCTGAAGGAAATGGATGCAATGGATCCCACCGAGGGCGACAATTCCACTACTGTCAACACTGATGCGCTTCTGATGGAGGCAGAGGAGGACATTGAACAGGACGAGCCTGATTGGGGGCTTGAAGGAGATGATGAAGCATTCCGTGATGGCATCGAGACTGCTGGGCGGGTAACTCGCACCCAAGCAAGCGCTAAGCGCTCGGTTGACCGTGTTCGAACATTGATCTCACTGCTGCGAAAATCTACCACTGCTCGTGACATCATGAATGATGTGAGGGAAAAGTTCCCCCCCGCTAGCAAAGGAGGGACGGCTTACTGCGGGGACACGGTCACCCGCTGGAATAGCACTTTCGCTATGATCAAGCAGATCCTTGATTACAAGCTCCAATACGAAGAGTTTCAGCGTGCGGTGGAATCGACATTGCCTCCGAACTCACCAGTCTATAAGGTAGTCGAGAACTGTCGGCTCAGCCACACTGATTATCGCGTCCTCCAAGCCGTGTACGA